GATCCTGGACACCATGCCTARGCCTATGCCATGTTGGAGGGAGATTTGGGGGAATTTTAGGATGGGGAAAGTGTATTTTTCATACTTATGAAATGTAAATTTTTCTGAATAGAGGATTGGCTGTGGCAAATTAATCCAAACATATTCCATCCAAGATAATGTAGACCCTTCTATTTCTACATCCAAAAGCTAGTTCCTTCTCCTTGAATCCGAAAGGGCTTGTGACTTGCCTATGACTGATAGAATGTGATAGAGGTGATGCTATATAACCTCAAACTAGGTTATAAAGGTGATTCAAATTGCCTAATGGGCAAGGGATTTTAATTTGGGGTGATCAAAATGTTTTGAGATGATACAGAGGTAGTAATTGCATAATACTGGGAATGTTCTCAATACCAATAGATTGAGCACTTAAAATATCTAGTTTTGTGTAACGTGAATTTCATCTCAAATAAGTTGAAAACAAAAAGATGATTTGGTTTCCACCTTATAAGCGGGAGGACTCAGAAACAGAAACCCGATTCATCGTGTTAAGAAAACATGGGAGCCCAGACCACAGGGAAGCAATTGTGAGTACCCCATCCTGGCCCCATTTGGTGCCCTTAGTCAGTGAAGGTGCTGCTGAATGATTCTAGCACAGAGCACCCCACTACTAGCCATGGGAGTCTCCTCAGCTTTGCCTGGACATTAGAGAACAGAAAAAAAAGCTCTCTTGCATTCTTTAAATTCTAGACTCAAAGAGTCTGAGCATAAAAAAGAAAGAAAAAAAGGAAAAAAAAGAGCAGTTTTAAACTTCTAAGTTTCAAGGCAATATGTTAAGCATTAGTAGCAACTCATTAAGATTTTTAATTTTTTATTTTGTTTTGAAATGATAATATGTGTGGATGGATATATATATATATATATATATATATATATGTATTTTAGTATCAGGGATTGAACCCAGGGACACTTAACTACTGAGCCACATCCCCAAACCTTTTCAATATTTTATTTAGAGCAATTTCTTGCTAAATTTCTTAGGGCCTCACTAAGTTGCTGAAGCTGGCTTTGAACTCCCGATCCTTCTGCTTCAGTCTCCAAACCACTGTGATTACAGATGTGCACTACTACTCCCAGCTACCCCATAAATATAGGGGGTAAGTTGTGTTGTTGCATTATATGCAGATACTGTGAATTGATAAAATTAGGCTAATTAACATATCCATCACCTCAAATAGTCATCATTTCTTGTTGGTGAGAACACTTTAAATACTCTCTTAGCTATTTAGAAATACACATTATTATTATCTGTAGCCACCATGCTGTGCAATAAATCTCCAGAGCTTATTTTTCTTATCTGAAACTTTGGACAATGTCTTCCCTTTCCCTGTATATCCACACTCTTAGCCTATGGTAACCACCACCATACTCTCTATTCTGCAGTTTGACTTTTTTAGATTGCACAGGTAAAGTGAGATCATAAGATATCTGTCTCTCTGTCTAGCTTACTTCATTTAGTATAATGTCCGTCAGATTCATCTATGTTGCTGCAAATGACAGAATTTTCTGCTTTTCAAAGGATGAATAGTTTCCATTATGAATACATTCTAAATTTGAAAAATCCATTTGTACATTAATGGGAACTTTGGTTTTGTTTCCCTGTCTTGGCTTTTGTTAATAATGCTATAACAAATATTGACACACAGACATCTCTATAGCATACACATTTCAATTCCTTTGGATATATACTCAGAAGTACGATTGCTGAATCCTGTGATAATTCAGTYTTTAGTTATTTGAGGCACTTCCATACCATTTCCCAAAGTGTCTATATTAATTTATAATACATTCAACAATATTCAACAGTTCTTTTCTTTCCATATGTGGTCAACACTTATTTTTAAAATTTTTTTAATAACCACCAACCTGACAAGTATGAAGTCATATTTCATTTTGGTTTCAATTTGCATTTCTCTGATATTAGAACTATGGAGAATTTTTAAGTGTACCTGTTGGTCATTTGCATGTCTTCTTTTGAGAAATGTCAGTTCAGGTCATTTGTCCTTGTTATATAGGAATACYGATTTTATTGTTACTGAAGAGTTTGAGTTCCTTAGGTATTTTGGATATTAGCCCCTTCTCTGATATATGATTTGTCAATATTTTCTCCCAATCTGGGCACCATCTCTTTGCAYGGTTGATTGCTTCTCTTGCTGTACAGAAGCTTTTTAGTTTGATGCAATTCTATTTGTCTATTTTTGCTTGTGTTGCCTGATTTGGGGGTCCTAGTCAAGACGTGATCACCCAGGCCAATGTCACACAGCATCCCCACCACGTCTCTTCCAGTAGTCTTACAGTTTCAGGCATTATGTCTAAGTCTTTAATCTATTTGGRGTTTATTCTAAAATCAGAACGAGGTAACTGTACATTTTGTTCTCTGCATGTGGGTATCCCGYTTTKTTTTTTTTTTTTTTTTCAACAGCGTGTAGTGAAGAGACAGTCCCTATTTTAAGTTCTTGGTGATTTTTGTCAAAAACAACTAAGATAAATGCRTGCTATCCAGGGCTCTCTCTCCTGGTTCTTTGGTCTAGGTGTCAGGTTTCATGGGGTAGCATGCTATCTTTATTACTTTAGTTTCATATTGTATTTCCAAATATGGAGATGCCTCCAGTGTTTTCTTTTTGCTGAGATGACTTTGACTGTTCAGAACCTGCGATGGTTTTAATGTGTTCTCTGAAAGTTCATGTGTTGGGAACTTAATCCCCAAATGCACATTAATGGTATTTGGAAGTGGGGTTTGGGAGAAGTAATTAGGGTTACATGAGATCATGAGGTGAGGGCCATGCAGGTGGGGGTCATGATGGATTTTATGTCTCTGTTTTTCTTCCAGTGTATTTTGGCCTTCCCCCGCCCTCCATGGTAGACATATTCAAGAAAGAATCAATTGCAGTGGGATGTGGTGGCACATGCTTGGGAATCTCAGCAACTCAGGAGGCTGAGGCAGGAGGATTGCAAGTTCGAGACCAGACTCAGCAATTGAGTGAGACCCTAAGCAACTTGGTCAGAACCTGTCTCAAAATAAAAAAATTAAACAAAAAGAGGGATGGGGATATAGCTCAGTGGTAAATTGCCCCTGGGTTAAATCACTAGTACCAAAAAACAAAAATAATTGGATTAGTTCAGGATACTCACAGAAAACAACTTCCTCAACCCATTGTTACAAACTGCATCATTGTCTAGGAGCCTCATTTGATCTGTTTGGTGAGTCTTGCCAGCGACACAGTACTAGCCAAAGGATAAGGAGAACTTCTTTGTTTTAAGAGTACCAGAAGTGCCCTGGTGTTGCCAAAAGAGCCAAACAAGGCCAATAGGTGAAGGAAGGTAGCAAACTCACATACTGAAACAATTCTCATCCTCTGGTCCCACTCAGGCCCATGTCCACTTCTCCCTGGGTGTCCGCCTCACCAGTGTCTCCCAGCTGTTACGAGGCTGCATAAAACACACAGAACCSGTCCTCTTCTCCAACGCTCCAGTTCCTGCTTCCCCTTCACCTCATTATGATGATCCCAAGTTGAATAAGGAGAATAATTTAAGAACAAAGTCTGTATTTTAACCTATCGCCCTGACTCAACAACCCACAAACAGAAAATCTGGGCATCTGATATCCTGGTAATAATGTTATCAAAGATGAAACAGGCAGATGACAGTAGGACCAGGAATTCAACTGGAGGGAAACAATGAATGATAGAAGGGACGATTGAATGTGTAGTACAATAAATGAGATGGCAAAAGAACGCCCACCAAATGCTCACCTACCACCCAAAACACTAATGACCTACTGACATTATTCAGTCATCCATATAACAAACATTTATTTAGAGATCGACCTAGGTTAGACCCCGTATCGTGTATGTTCAATACKTATTTTACCTCTGAGGAACCACAGCCACAGAATCACTCAGTAATTCAGTAAGTAATTTGCCCGGTGTCCATAGCCTTTGGAACTTAAATATACACAAAGTACCTCATGTGTTTTCCTTTTAAGGCAAAGTGTGGAAGGAGGTAAAAGAATATAATTAGAAAATATAAGAAATAGGATGAGAGGAAGACTCTCTTGCAGAAGAACCATGTCGCCCCCTAATATCCTAACACCTCCAAATGGAACCTTTCAATCACGTTATTTTAGCCAATGATGCTTCAACATTACCTCACTAAAAGGTTTGTCTAGAAAATATGTAACTCATCATTCATAATAAACATTTTAAATACAAATTATTTAATACTAGAAGTTGGAAATCCTAAATATCAGTATTCCCATATTAAGAAAAGGAGTATATCAACAACTGACGCTCTGTAAAGACCCCTGGAAGAAATCACTAGCTGAATGGCCCTGTTGGTACCCAGCATCAGCAATATAGTTCTTGCCACTGAAGGTCACAAACTCCTGTGGATTGGGTGAAGTCTCATCTTAAGGACTAGTAGGCTATTCAAAACCAATATTACAGCTCTTCCTTCTCTGTTACATTCCAATCCTGAATCATAAATCTGGATGTTTTATAAAAATTGGGTAATGTATGTATGCTAGCTAAATTTAATGGCAATTATTTTTTCACTCTTCTCTTTACTACCAGTATAAATTTTCTGTGAYTTCAACAATAAACCAGTGTTGAAACACTTTCCAGCATAAGTTGGGCTGGGTTCTAAGAAAACAACATCATTATTAAAATGCTTTTATTAGTATTAATTTTGAAAGGAGGGTGGTTATGTTCCTGAAAAAAAAAAGCCATTTAGTTATACATGATGACATTGTTATGGGTGAAATAAAATGATGTGTAGGGTTTTCTTCAAAATAATGTGGGGGCTCAAAGGTTATGATAGGTCATCAGTTCATTGTCGGTAATCTGAGAAATCAATACGCAGGTTTATTATTTTATTCTCTATAATCTTGAATAGATTTGAAATTTTATATAGTAAAAAGTGTAAGGATGTGTTATTAAAGACCATGCTTGCTGCTTCTCCTAAATAGTAAAATATCGATCACCATGTTTGGGCACTAGTTTTCTCTCTAGAGAAATATGAAATATAGTTTTCAATACTTCTYCCACTTCTTCCTCTTTCAGAGTCTTAAACTCTAYCAGGTCGACACCGTCCTTATAGTTGAATCTCCTATAGGTGAGGGTGAAGCCCACTAAACAGTGAACCCCTTCTGGGGTCTGCAAGGAACAAAATGATTTGCTTGTAAACACAGAGGCTGGGGATGTCTGAAGGAATGTATTCACAGACTCAAAATCTTCAATTGTTCGAGGTAGAAGAGTAAAGGAGTAGATTTTTCGGTATTTATTCATCTCTAGGAGGTCGGAATTGAGAAATTCTTGGTTTGGAATGTGCTGCTCTCTTCTGATTTGGTCCAGGTACCAGATGCCTTCCTCCTCTGTCAAGCGGAAGATGCATGGCACCTGAGGCTGATCCTTCCCAGAAATTAATTCCAGAGGCTGCCATATCTGGTAGGAGCGTCCAAACCCAGCATCGGCAATATAGTTCTTGCCACTGATGGTCACTTGTAGTAGAAGGTGAATCATACCACTGCTGTATTTGTTGGCCGGAGTGTTGTAAACGTATCCTCCCAACATAGTGGTCTGAAAACCCATYGTGGTCAGAGCCCAGTATAGAAGATGATTGACCTGGAGGCACCACCCACCCCGCTTCCTCCTCACAACTTGGTCAAAAATGGTCTCTAAGTCCAACTCCATAGGTTCTCCACAGTGAATATTAAGGTTCTCAAAGGGGATAGCTCGGATCTGGTGCTGAAGAATGTCAGTTAATGTTTCCAAGTCCAATTTGTTCCTAGAGTTCTTATAGCCAATTCTTTCAAAATATACTTCAATGTCCATGGTCCCTAAAGTGAGGAAAATAAAAACAAAACCAAAAACAAATTATGCTAGTTTTGCACTCGGATATCCAAGAGCAGCCTAACTTTAGCTAGAATGTGTTTTAAATATGTAGATACAAATAATGCATGCAAATATCTGTAATAAGTTTTTGCTTTGATTGGAGGAAGCGATATAAACTCATAGTTCACTAAAGTTCCAGGGACCCTTAGCAGGAAAGTCTGATCATTTCTTCCATCTTTCAAGTATTAGAAACTAGAAATCCAGATTAAATGATGAGTCAAATGATAACCAGTTTAGATGTGGTATTCTTAGTGATGAAAAACCCTGAGTTCCAATTGGTTTCCATTAAGATAGGCTTCTAAATGGTTCTGGATTCAAACAGGAGAATTCTACAGTAGAGTAAATGGCATTCCTGGAACTTGACCCACTCAAATTTCCCTTTAGCAGAATCTTATGTAAGTTCTGTACTCAAAGATTTATGTTGATTGACTCACTGATTGATCGATTAGCTCAAGGAACATTTTACTGGGCTGGAGATACATCTTGTTGGTAGAGAGGCTGTGGGGCCAATCTCTAGCACAAAAACTAACTAACTAAATATATAAATAAAAGTGTACTTCCTGCCCTCTAAAATCTTACATTTCAGTGGGAATTAGAATGATACAGATAGTGAACTGAGTAAAGTGAATAAATCATGTAATTTACGGGAGTGTGGTAAGCGCCCTAGGGAAAACTAAAGCAATAAGTAGGAATAGTAACTGCACAGGAGGATCTCAATTACAAAGAACGTGTTTAAGAAATCCTCACTGAGACTGCACGGATTCTAGAGAGTGACCAGGGGAGGTGATCCTGATGTTTGCCACATTTCCCTCAAGCTAGTAGAGTCACTGCACTTCTTCTCACCCCAACTGCACCAGTACCCTTTCTCAACACTTGGACAAGGTCAGCCTGTAACACTGAGGCTCAGCCATAAGAGACATTTACTCAGCCCACCCCAGTCCCTCTTGGCCTCCTTAGCCAGTCTGTACTGAATACAAGGAAGAGAGGAGAAAGCTCACCTAAGAGGAGTAGGTGGCTTACCCGTGACTGGCCACGGGACTGATGCATATGCATTATCCTTTTTTTCTCTGTAATTCTACAATTTGTTTTCAAATGTTTGTTAGGGGCCTTAGTACTGGTGACATGCAACCACATTGGACTGTGTATTCTGTGACTAACATAAGCAGTGGTCTATACTAAAGCTGTGGTGCAAGGTGTGATACTGCAAACACCTGGGAAGCTGTGGCCAGGGAAAGAGCTCCTCAAAACTACTAGTTCTGCATGTTGATTGGCAGCATCTCTGTGCAGTAACAGACCCCCTTTTTTCAGCTTGATCATTAGAGGAGAAGACAACACAGGAGCAGGCAGTGTGCCCGTCTAGATAGCCCTTGGGGACTCTCACAAAGGTACTTTTTAACCACATTCCGTAAGTTGAACATAAGTTGATTTCAAAACGTTGTAATTCAGAAGCCTTAGAATGTTTCCTCTTCCTGGAACAAACTCTAGAAATGATAGGAAATGTGGCTTCAAAAAATGTATAACRTGATTCTTCTTGAAAACAAAGGGTAGTTTTGTGGACCATAAATTGTGAAGAATCCCTGAACGTCACAGGGAGTGTGACATCACAGGGAGTGTCCTGCACAGTAAAGGAAGCCTCTGAGTTGCACAAGAAGGGTGCAGGAAGGCTGATCACAGAAGATGGAAAGAACCCTGATGAGGTTTAAGCTTGGAGGCTGTGGAACTCACCAGGAGGGGACCCAGGAGCCACCAACCAYGTGATTAATTGCCAAGGGAGCAGCAGGCACAGTGAACTATGGTCTGTGTCCCCGATTACTACTAAGATAAACACCAAAGGCCAGTATACAGTGGTAGCACTTGGTCTTCCTTAGGTGACAACTATAACTGGGGACACAAGGGTAGAAAAACAAAGTAATGCCCTTAATGTAAGGAGTCCACAGAAAGAAGGAGGGGCACTTATATGTGGAAAATATGCCACAAAGAGTCTCTTGTCATAGTCATCTTTCTGCACCTCCTCTGAAAGGCAGGAGTCCAAGCGCAATGCTAGATGGACATCTCACCTATTACACTAGACTCAAGAAGAAAAGTAACAGTGGAGACAGAGCCATTTATTCATGAATGGAAAGACAAAACAAATGAAAATAGACTGTGAGATGTGTTAGAAGAAAAGATATGACCTGCAAAAATTGCGTGACCAAAAGACAAGAAATGGAAGAAGAAATATAAACTGAATAGATAGAAGTTCTTTTCAGGAACTTGGCAGTATAGAGGATATAAAATGACTTAGTAATAAATACTAAAAAATAAGATGATGAAATAATATGGTTTGTGAAAAGAAAGATTTCAGAACTTAGAAAATTCATTAAGATTAATTAAAATTAATTAATTTAACATAGACAGAGCTTATACTTAGTCATAAGCGAGAAGAATTATTTAGATGAACCATAATTAGTTATGTGGAAAAAACTTGATATTCATATAAAGACTAATGAAAAGATAATGCCATTCCCACATTAAAAGAAAAGTTAATCGATACAGAAAGGAAAGAAAAGCACATCGTGCTTCTGAAGGGAAGAATATGAAAAGTATAATAGGAAATATATACAAGATAGATATATATATAAAGAAATATTTTACAGAAAGGAGAAAGAAATCAAATTTGAAAAACAAGAGACAAGAGTCTTGGAAACTATTGATTCTACGTACTTGACATCGACACATAATCTGCTTAAATTTTTGAAATTCATAATTTAAAAGAACYACTCAAGCATCTGTCAGAGAACGAACTTCATATGGAAGAAAATGTCAGGCTGGCAACAGAATGTTCCCAGGAAATATCCAAAGGTGCAGTCCTAGAACTATGTCCACAAAGTATCGGAAGAGTGTATGATCCTGACTTGGGCTTTGTGTTAGGATTTTACTGAATCATAACAGCAACCTGCATCCGATGATGATTTGAAATGTGGAAGAACTTGACAAAGGCCACCAGTGTGAGCTATCCTGAGGAAGTCTTTCCTCCTCACTGGACAGAAYGAAGTAACTCAAAAGGAAAACTAAGAAGTCGGCCACAACAAAGGACTGATGTGAGCACTGGCTCCTTTTAATAGCCAASGAAGGGGAGAAAAGGGATGAGCATTATGGCTATTGAAGAAGCCATTTCTTTCAGCTTATCCAAAAATAGAAGCAAGAAAGATTAAATCTGAAGACTGAGAAAGACCAGAACTAGGAAGCTCTGATCCAGCACTGCCAACTCTGGAACCCTTACACGATGAACTTAGGGACATTGAAATTTCAAGTTTATTGGAACAGACAGAGCTACATCAATCAGGGAGCACCAGATCACAAGCACTCAACGTCCCCGGCGAAGGGAGGAAGACAGGGCAAGAGAGACACTTCTATAGGATGTTCCCACAAAGAGCACAAAAACCATATTTCATCAGATAAAGCGGAAAATTCTTAGGTACGGGTCAGTTGGTGGCTTCTGATTGGTAAAGTTTCTGGTTTTCTTCTATTGTTTACTTGGGAATGTAAAGCACTGGAGTCACCCAGGCCAGTGGTTACCTGATTAAAATTCTGTAAACAATCATATTCTGAAATTACTGAAAGGTGAGTGTTATGGTTTGGATGTGCAGTCTCAGACAAAAGCTCATATATGAGACAATGCCAAAAGGTTTAGAGAAGAAATGATTGGGTTATGAGAGCCTTAAGACAATCCGTGAATTAGTCCTGATGGGATTAACTGGGTGGTAGCTGAAGATGGATAGGGTATGGCTGCAAGAGCTGGGCATGTACCTTTGGGGTACATATTTTGTATGTGGAGTGTCTCTCTCTCTCTCTCTCTCTCTCTCTCTCTCTCTCTCTCTCTCCCCTTCCTGATCATCATGTGAGCTGCTTCCCTCAGCCACTCTCTCCCACCATGATGTCCTTACCTCAAGCCCAAAGAAATGGAGCTGGCTGCCTATGGACAGGACTTCTGGAACTGTGAGCCCCCAAATAAACTCTTCTTCCCTTCAGTTGTTCGGATCAGGGCTTTAAGTCATAGCAGTGAAAAAGCTGACTAAAACAATGAGGCAGAAAGCATGTAGGTGAGTAAAACAGGGAGGGATAGAGCCAGGAGAGAACTGGAGAGTGCTAAAATAATTTAAAACATTAAAAAAAGAAAACCCCACAGTTCACATGAGCCCACTGGATCACTGGTCTCCACCAGCAGCACAGAAGTGTAAAGAACAGAGAATGTCCGTGCACCTAGAGAGGACACATGGGTGGGGAGGACCCAGGACTGAGTCACTGTGGGGACAATGCTGTCTACAAGTCACCTAGATTCTTTAGATTTCTTTCACCATATCATGGTGCCCCTGGCCTGGCTTGTGCCATTATCCTTAAGAACCTGCACCCTGGATTCTCTTTGCAGGACTGCTGGAGCTTCTTGCCCCCATTAGCTTGGAGCTAGCCATGCGGGGAATTGACATCCGGCCCCTGCAGCCGAGGGTCCATGATCTGAACGCCCAGCTGCCTTGCTGGGGTCTCAACACACTTTGAGTTATAATTTACATCCCGACACAGCAGGGTTTCTCCAGGACTTCCTTAAGTCACTTGCACAGGGACCCTTGTCCCAATGTCTGAATTTTGGGAATCTGACCGAAGTCACCAGTGTGGTCACTTTGGAGAGTTGTGTGAAAGATACCCACAATGAGGTGACTTCTAGAGGGCTAGGAGGCCATGAAAATGGCTTGCATTTTTTTCTGCAGATCACATGAATATTGTTTTGTCCAATGGTCACCATGCAACAGTTGGATTAACTGTGGTAATTTATCTCTAAAACATGGTGTTTCAATGACAGATCACCATGTGGGATATTCCTCAGGAGAGTGGGTTGACACACAGAACCTATTCAATTCCACGTCTTTGGGATCTCTGCATCATTCATGTGATTTTCAGCTTTTTTGTTAAACCCTTATTTTCTCCCCCAATAGAGTTGTGAGCAAGAGCCCAACCTAGAAGAATTAAAATCAGACTGAAGCCGGGCGCAAGCCTATATTCCCAGTGGGATTGGGAGGCTGAGGCAGGAGGATCTTGAGTTCAAAGCTAGCCTCAGCAATGACCCTAAGCAACTTAGTGAAATCCTGTTTCTAAATAAAACACAATAAAGTGCTGGGATGTGGCTCAGTGATCGAGTGCCCCTGAGTTCAATCTCTAGTACTACCCGCCCCCAAAAGGCAGACTGATCCAGAGGGAGGCTGTGCATGAGATGCTGCTGTTATATCTTCAAGCTACAAGCAGCACAAACCCTGTTGGGGATTGTGGTAGAAACTTCTACACCTACTGCATAGGTTACTAGCAATATTGCATAGAAGATTTCCAAGGAAAGCTAATGAACTGCTTTTATTTTTGTATGTATACTATTTCTATTTCTTTTTATCTCTTCTTCAATTTCTACTACAGTGAAGTGCTTAGCATCCCATGATTTTGACACTATACCCCAGCCAACCTGCTGACTATCTGTATGGAAAAGGACTTGCTAGGCTGGCCACAGCTAAAGACTATTATTCGGGGCTGGGGATGTGGCTCAAGTGGTAACGCGCTTGCCTAGCATGCGTGAGGCATTGCATTCGATTCTCAGCATCACATAAAAATAAAATAAAGATATTGTGTCCACCTAAAACTAAAAACTAAATATTAAAAATATAAAGACTATTATTTAATAATCCTTAGAGTGCAAAAGAACTGTGTCTCAGCCATAGCTCCCTGGGAATGCCTTCAGTAGCTAAGAAGCGGGTACAGGGTACCATTGAAGGCAAGAATCAAACCTGAAGAGCAATAGTGGCTAGAGCTGAAGATGGTGAGGCCAAGAAATAAGTCTCTGGACAGGGGGCAGCTAGAGAGCTGACAGCCAGAAAGCTCCTTTTGAGGGACAGGGTGTGCCCAGCTGTTCTGTGTCTAAGGCAGTAGGAGGGGCGGGGACAGGAAAGAGAAAGAGCAGTTTAACAGGAAAGAGCCAGCAGAGGACTGTCGTGTGGGCATCCTGCCAGAGGACAGAGCAGAGTCCAGAGCACAGAGTCCCCTGCTCCTGGGCAGCCTTGCCTAGGGAGGCTCCTTGCTCCTGTGTCATTTGTAGTCAGTGTTCGGTGGGGGGGGATGCCCTACTCTCAGGAACAGTGAAGCAGTTGACTTTTCATCCCTTATAGCTCCTCAAGACCCTCCCCACTAAGCCTCCTTCCAACATGGTAAACATTCCCCCAGGACTTTCTCTAGACACTGCAGATAACAAAATCCAGACACGCAGGACATTGGGGMCCATTGGGGTTTTCTGATCAGCTCAGGCAAAAGGAGCAGGATTGTTATGAGTCTGCTCCCTGCAGGATTAACCAGACCTCTTGGGACACACCCAGTTGAGGACAGAGGAGTACAGGACTGTCCAAGRTTTCCAAGAGAGAAATYCAGTTGAGGAATTTCCCTTAAATGCTGCTRCCTTTTAACACTGAGTCTGCATGACAAACTTTAAGTAGGTACCATTATTAGCTCCATGTTACTATGGGAAAGGGAGCTTCAGAGACACTAAAAGAGTTGTTCAAGTTCTCTCTGCTAGAATGTGCTGTGGCCGGCCTGTCACCCAGGTGGTGTGAACTGAGAGTCTGTCAGATTCATCATCATGCTGCATAGCATTTACAGCATTAGCTCCAAGCAGGAGCCACCCAACTCTCTGAACAACTTAGAACTTGGAATTCAGGGCAGAGTAGAATCTAGCCTCCTGCACTCCCTTTGAGATCAGAGGAAACCCCAGTTTCAAAGCCCACTGCAGGTCAGTGGGGAGCTCCACTCACCAGGTTACCAGAGCCTGAGACCAGGAACCAGGCTGTGTGCAGTCTGCCTCTTCCTAGGTCTGCAGAGGAAGTGCTCTCATTGGTTACCAAATTGTCCCACCCCCAGAGTCTGATTACAGTCCGCCCAGGGATCTCTGGGAAATGTAGTTGCAGGGCTTCTTGGTGCCCCAGTGTTCATGTTTTCCTGAGGAGGGGTGGGGATTTATATTATCTGATGGTTCACATGCCTCAGGCTGTGAGGGACCTTTGTACTCCACATAGTTCCTGCTCTCTGGGAGCTTGAGCCAGGCTTCCTGAGTGTGAAGTGGAAGTTCAGAGCTTGGAAAGGGCACAGGGAGAGCTGTTCCAGTAACCTAGAGGGGGTAGAAGAAGGTGGAAGCTTACTGTCTTCATCAATTCCTGAGATCTTTATTTTCATTTTTTAAAAAGTTCTCTCATCCTCACTCCCTTTTACCTCTCCATTGGAAGGCACTGGCAGCGTGAAAAGTGTCTGTACTTTGTCTATGCATGTGGTGTGAGTGTGACTTGTGTCATATGGTTTGTTCTGTTGGTGTTTCTATTTACATTAATGATATGGGTCTATACTCTTGCAATTTCTTATTCATTTCTACTATATTCATTACACTGTATTTTATAAGTTGTCTTCATGATATGATGGATGCTTGTGCTATTTCTTTGGCACCTATTTTTCTATTACATTCCTCTGGTTTCCTACTTTATAACCTTTATAACTCTCTACCGGAAGGATTTCTGGTGGTCTGTGCTTGGGCAGGATGATTAGACCCACAGATAATGCCCCTGGGACAGCCACTCAGTGAAGATGATGGGAATTAGAAAGTGCATATCCCCATCTCTCCTTCCTTCCTTCCTTCCTTCCTTCCTTCCTTCCTTCCTTCCTTCCTTCCTCCCTCCCTCCCTTCCTTCCTTCCTTCCTTCCTTCTCTTCTTCCATGCTGGAGATTGAATCCAGGCCCTCATGCATGCCAGGCAACCACTTAGCCCTAACCTATATCCCTAGCTCTCACCCCTTCCCCATTTTCTAATTCCTCAATTGGATTTTTCTAAAGCATGCGAAACACTGCCTCCTGGTGTTGTCCAGTGTGATTGTGCTTCTTTTGTCCATAGGCAACCTTCCAAGGATGCCTCCTTTATTCATTTTTAAACCACATATATATCTTTCATCCTTCCCATCACTGAGTCTTGGTTATAATCACCTGCCTTTAGAATCATCACCCTAACCAATACTCTCCAACTATTCCACTGCTACAAAAACTGCTATGTTGCGATATACTCTATTGTTTTAAGTAATATTCCCCTTTCTACCTTTCTCTTTTCCTTATTATGATAATTAGAATTTGAAGATGGAGAATAATTAATATTGGAATAATTCTGTGGGTTAAGCTAACGTCCTAAAGTTGAAAATCATAATCAGAAAATATGAGTTATAGAAAAGTAAAGATTCAGATTTTTAAGTACAAGTCATTCTCTTAGGTCCTAGGCATCTGATAACTTGTCAATATTTACTCAAGGTTGAAGCAGGCACATGACAGTTGGAGCAGAATTTTGTTTTACTTTTAAAAATTGTATTAGTAAACTGTGATTATACTTAATAATGTTTCCATTGTGATACATCTATAACTTCACATAGCATAATTTAATCTAATTCACTCACCCATATTTTCACTTTTTGGCCTCTCCTCCTCTCCTTAACCCATTCGCTATTCGCTATACTTCTGATCTCCCTTGAATTTTCATGAGATCTTTCTCCCCCTTTTTTCTTTAGCTCTCACATATGAGACAAAACATATGACCCTTGACTCTTTGAGTCTGGCTTTTTTTCCACTTCAAATGATATTCTGTAGTTCCATCCAACTTTCCTACAAATGATGTAATTTCATTCCTGCTTATAATTGAATAAAATTCCATTGTGTATCTATACCACATTTTTTATCCATTCATCTATTCAAGAACAGACTGTTTTATAACAACTTGGCCATTGTGAATTACTCTGCTATGAACATGGGTATGCATATATCACTATAGTTTGCTGGCTTTAATTCTTTTCAATCAATACTAAGGAGTGGTTTAGCTAGGTCTTAGCTTATGCAATCTTATGGTGGTTCTTTCCTCTCTCTCTCTCTCTCTCTCTCTCTCTCTCTCTCTCTCTCTTTTAATGGTGGTGCTAGGGATTGAACTCAGGGCCTTGTGCTCTACCAACTGAGCTATATCCTCAGCCCCTTCCTTGTCTTTTGAGGAACTTCTGTACTGATTTCCATAGTGGTGTACTAATGTGCAATTGTACCAGAAGTGTGAGTGTTCCTTTTTTCCTGCATCCTCACCAGCTTTTGTTATTTTTGATGATTGCCATTCTAACTGGAGTAAGACGAAATCTCAGTGTAGTTTTGATTTGCATTTCGCTGATTGCTAATGATGCTGAACATTTTTTTTTCATGTATTTGTTGGAAATTTGTATTTCTACTTTTATGAAGTATCTATTCAGTTTATTTTCCCATTTATTTATTGGGATATTTGTTTTTATGATGCTAAGATTTTTGAGTGTTTAATATTTCTGGATATTAATCCTGACAAAACTTTTTCTCCCAATCTGTAGGCTATTTCTTTATGCCATTAGCTGCTTCCTATTGTGGGGTGCCCAACACCCCAACAGAGTAAGTTTCTGCTCAGGAGGTGTGAGCCACCTGGGAAGCAAAACTCTGAAATAATTAGTAAGAAAAAGAGAGAGCCAGAAATTAGATATGAAAAGTGKAGTGTCTCATGGGTTTTCCTGTCCTAATAGGAGCTGGAACTGAGTAACTGAACAAAGGCTCTGATTATTTATTTAAAGGGGAGTACATCAAAGGGAAGGATAAAGTCTCAGCAGGAGGAGTCTTGGTAGTCTTGGTTTGGTGCTTGCTCCTTGGTGTGGCAGAGATCTTGCAGTAAACAGGTTGATTGGCATTTGGCAAGCCACACCTATCTCAGAGAGGCTGTGTGGCTCCAGCAGGTCACCCCCTCTCCCATGCTGAGCTGAACTGGTGGTGAAGCTGGGTAGGAAGCCACATGAACCAGGCATTCTCAAACCAGCAGGGTTACTGCTGGGAGTTTCAGACACTAGCCCTTCCTGCCTGATGGCTTCAACATCCTATTAGTTCATGGATGGCTTCCCAAAGATTTCAGTTCTGTGTGGATTTTAAATTTGACTCCATACCATTTATTAATTAATTGTTTTAATTTCTAAGCTTTAGGAGTCTTAGTGAGGAAGTCATTGCCTGTACTCAACATATTAGAGTGTTGACCATATATTTTCTTCTGGCCATTGCAAGGTTTCGGGTCTCATTTCTGTATCTTTAATCCACTTTGAGTTGACTTTTGTGAAGGCTGAGATCGGGATCTAGTTTTATTCTTCTGCATAAGGATATCCAGTTTTCACAGCACCATTTGTAGACAGATTTCCTTTCCTTCAACTTAGCATGTTTTTGTATCGTTTTCAAGGATCAGCTGACTGTTACCTGTGTGGGTTTGTCTCTGGGTCTTCTATTTGATTCCACTGGTCTACGTATCTGTTTTTATGCCAGTCCCAGGCTGTTTTTGTTACTGTAGTTCTGTAGCGTAATTTGAAATTGGGTATAGCGATGCCCCCAGCAGTGCTTTTTGGCTATTTTGGACATTTTATTCTTCTATATGAAATTTAGGACTGCATTTTCTCATTTTGTGAAGAATGTCATTGGTATCTTGAGGGTGATCACATTGAATCTGTAGATCTCTTTTGGTAATATGGCTATTTTAATAATATTAATTCTCCTATCCAAGAAAATGGGAAGTCCTTCAAACATTTAATGTCTTCTTCAATTTTTTTTCTTCATAATACTGTAATTTTCATTGTGGAGGTCTTTTACCTCCTTGTTTAGATTTATTCCTTGTTTTTAAAAAATTATTTTTTGAGACTATTGTGAATATAATTATTTTCCTGATTTTTAAAGCATATTTATYATATTATAGGTGTATGGAAGAGGTGTTAATTTTTGTTTATTGATTTGTAGTCTGATAATTTGCTGAATTTGTTTACCAGCTCTAGAAAAATATATATATATATTCTTTCTTTTTTTTTTTACAAAGAAACATTTTTATTCCTCAAAATTCTAACATCTAGCAATCATTTTCTGAACATTTGTTGATTTGCATATGCACATTTTTCTATGTATAGATCCAGTAAAAAAGATTAAAAATATATAATTGATAGATTATAGATACCTCAACTTTTTAAAAATGGAGTCCTACTATATCTGACATTTTATTTTTGATGCCTTTTTAAAAATTTTATTTATTTTTGCATTACAATTCTTAATACATCTTTATACCACAATTTATCATATCTCTGATTGTATACAAGGTATGTTGACACCAAATTCACATCTTTGTACATGTATTTTGTATAATGATGAAAGTATCCTTTCACATATATGTTTTCCAATATAACATCTTTCATATACAMACAGTAATAATTTTACTTATCCCTTATTTGAAACTCTTTAATTTCCTTCACTTGGCCAATTGCTCTAGTTAAAATTTCAACTGGTATATTGAATAGGATGTTGAAAGTGGACATCCTCATCTTGTTCTTAATTTAGAGGAAATGCTTTCAGTTTTATTCCTCATTCAGTATGATGTTGGCTTTGGATTTATCATATATATATATATATCCTTTATAATATATATATATCCTTTATAATATATATATATCCTTTATAATATATATATCCTTTATAATATTGAGGTAAATTCCTTCTATTCCTAATTTCTTCAGTGTTTTCAACATGAATGGGTGATGAACTTTGTTGAAGGCTTTTTCCTGCATTGATTTAAAGGTTATGTGATTTTTGTCCTTTATTCTAATAAAGATAAGTTACATTTATTTCTTTGTCTATATTGAACCATCCTTACATCCCTGGAGAGAAACCAACTTAATTATGAAATACAGTTTTCCTAATGCATTTTTGCACAAAAAATTCTAATATTTTATTGAGTATTTTTG